ATGCAACATGGCCAAATTCTCGACATTCAAAACATTGCACCTTAGAAAAATCCTTCTGCAATGTCCTTCCTAAGGTTTTACTAGCAACAAATGCAGTTTCAGCTTCCCCTTTGTCTAGCGTGGCTTGTGTTGAAAGTCTAGTCTCCTCCCGAAGGAGCTCTCCCAATAACTTATCCATAGAGGGCAATTTTACCTGGTTTAATATACTGGCACGAAGAGGCTCAAATTCAGATCTTAGCTTCATCAAAAATTGCATCACTTTTCTTTCATCATTCAAAGTCTGTAAACTCTGTAAGCAATAGTCCTCATGGTCACCCATAATCCCTTGCTCATATTCAGTCCACAGACTCATGAAAGTAGCATAATAGTCTTGAATATTTTTATCACCCTGTGCAAACTTGAAAATGTCAAATTCAATCTGAAATTTCCTAGCCCAATTTGACTGCTGATAGATCTTTTCAAGATGTTCCCACATTGCCTTAGCAGTGCGAAATCCTCGCATGGGGATTCCAATATTAATATCACCAGAAGCCAAAATCCAAGAAACAATTTTTGCATTATTCATCTTCCACTATTGAAGTTCTTTGATTTTTGATGCTTCAGGCATAGGATCGGTTCCATCAATATAGCCCCACAAACCTTTGCCCTCTACAAAGAATTGAAAATGGAATTTCCACAAAGAAAAATTCTTTCCATCTAATTTGATAGCCAAAGTCTCATTTTTCTTGGTCATTATTGAATCCAATTCCGTAGCAACAAATCAAGATGCAAATCAACCAAGGAGAAAAGCAAACAAAAGGGTAATCAATATTACCGTCAATACGAGATGAAAAACCCAATCAAGAAATCCAATCTCCAATCCACACTATGATCGTGACAAAATAGGAAAGGAAGAATCTGGTTTGGCTTTAGCGTCGGAATCCTCTGCAAGCCGGTGGTTGTGGAGTCAAAACCCCTAGCGGCGACGATGTCTCAGGAACTGGCGAAATCTCCTCTACAATGGCTTTACCTCCGATACTAGGCCAGTGGTCATGGAGTCAAAACCCCTGGCGAAATCTGCTCTGATACCATGTAAAGTGAGCCGGAAGTGGGGGTGCAAAACAACGTACAAAGCTGCTCACCCTTAGCAGCATATTTATATTAGGTTATATAAAATGTAAAGTTACATAAAAACCTTTAATATAAAACAAAATTACAAAATATGCCTATTTCCTACATTGCAATCCTCATCTTAAATATAATTCCTTATAGCAAATACAAACTGATTAGGTGTAGATCAAGACATATACACTAATCATATTGTAGTCAACGTTATAGCTGATTATATTATATATTGGGATTAGTGTAGTGCATGTGCTTCTCAAAATTTTTTGAGAACTATTTAAAAAGTAAAATCTCAACTTTTAGTTGATTGTTTCAAAAATTAACTATTAAGTTAAGAGTTAATTATATTTATATAGGTAGATTATATATTAATTTTTATTTTCATTTAACATTTATAATTTTTTGAATAAAAAAAACTTTATTTATTAATGTATATTTAACTATGTTAAATTTTATGTAATTGATAAACTAGTCATGCTTATGATTAGATCAATCTGAAAATTAGTATGCATAATTTAATCATTTATATAAATAAAATTTTTAATTTAAAAATTAAATTTTAAAAACATTAATTAAAATATCTAGTTTTTCAAGAGAGCAGTGCTAGGGGCACTTGCTTCCTGCACTCTCCGGCCAACGTTGCCCCTTTCATTGGGCCACGTAAGGTTGTTTTAAACTTTGAAGTGCAACCTCTGCCCAACTAAAACAACGTGGCCCAATGAAAGGGGCAGTGTTGGCCCGGGAGTGTAGAAAGCGAGTGCCCCTAGCACTGCTCTTTTCAAGATTTCATTCAAAAAAATGGTGCTGACAAAACTTTTCTCTTCTATATTTTAGGAGTCATTTAGATTGCTAATGGGGTTTTGACATAAGGTAGGAACTGACCAACCTGCAGGTTGGGTGATGGTACGTAGGACGAATACACAGGACGAACATGGCTTGCCACATCTGACTTACTCCCTGCGTCTCTCATTTCATCTCTCTTATTTCCCTCATTCATTTTCTCCATTTTTGCCTCCAGCTCCTTCTCCATGGTATGACTCGATTCCAAACCACCTGCATTATTTGAAACTCTATATGGCCATTGTTTTTATTTTTTATTTTTTATAAAAAGAAAACTAAACCCTAAACTAGTGGGTGAAATTGAACCCTAAAAAAGGTATTTACGTTTTGCAAAGGAAATACAACAGAAAAAGGAAGAATATTTGAGAGAGTTAGGATTGATCACTATTTCAGGTATAATCTAGGTGGAAACAGTTCCTCCATGCTCCCTGTTAAGTAAATAAGTATCTACTTATTTGGATTAATTATTAAAATGTAATATAATGAAACCAATACCATT